GTTGAACTTCTTATTCTGACGCAAACATGGCTGGAGAATCATAGTGGCAAAACAGCTTGGTTTCTCGCGCGCCCAATCACACAATGTCACGAATCAGGCAGAATAGCTCTGGAATTTCCATCAACCTATGAATCGTCCAATCTTTTCACACAGCATGCGGCATGCGCAGTATGGTTTCCCTGCAAACAATGCAGACAGGTGCTGCCTCAACGTGCTGCAGACAGGTGCTACGCCGCTACGCGAAGTGCAGTGGATGTTTTGCCAAACCTCCAACAAGTGTTCCAAGCGTTCCACACGGAGAATGATTGCGAATTACCTAGCTCCTAGCTGATCTGAAGCTGGCAGTACTTCCATGTATCACAAGCGAGAAGAGGAAAACAAAGCAGCTTTTCACACACAAAAGCTGCAGACTTAAACACTTTCCTAGCTCTGCAGACCAAGCTCCCAAATTGGTCCGCTCAAATCATTTTGGAAAGCTGAATTGTTTGAATGTCTTCAGTCGATATGCTGCCTCAGCCCATCTTTCACTGCGATCAGGGAGCTTGTCCCGTCGAGAGCATCCCTAATTCAGGGAACGTAACTCCTCCGAATCTGTCAGAGGTCCTTTGCGGAGCTCGGGCCAGCTTTCAGTGATTCCTCTGCCGAGCTACCTTTGCCTCTCCCAATACAACTCCTCAGATTTCATAGGGTTGGACCCTGTCAGCTCCTCTGGGACATGCTTCATCTTACAGCTGATGTGACCGACATAAAAACCCACAACTTATGAATACCCTCCGGTAATTTAACATAGCTATTGAAATGGCCCATTTATAGTTGATTTTCCTATTAAAGATGATGATTGTCCATAGCAAACTGTTAGTTTACCAGAGGGTATCTGGATGAATGAATGCATCGTTCACCACATTCTCCCTGCGATCTTTGATCGTGTCCCCACCCAGATACCTGAAAAGTCGTAAGTCACCCGTTTTTGGACAACCCCATGTCGGATATTGTTATGGCTAAGTGTACACCACATCACACTTTTCCCCGCCCACATCCCAATCACATCCCCATAAAAAGCTTGGTCTTATACCACCATTCCTAGGGACAAGGCCATGTGAGCAGGGTTCAAAACCCCCTTGATGTCATTTCATTACACTGGATAGTTAAGAGATGTTAAGAGCGGGATTCCCAATTCGTGGACTACGATGATCCCCAATATATGGGTATGGGTCAATACCTATAGATACATTTTTAGTGGGATGAACATCCATTTACCAGCTATTTTGATGTTCACCAGGGGCACAAGGTTTTGACACACTGCCATATTTCATAGTATAATACCCCTTAATCAACAACCAACAGGAGTGTCGAACGCAGCCCTGAAGATGACGACGCTTGGAGGATCATTCCATGGATCGTGGCGCCCCCAGCTAGGTTTGTTGGCTTCCAACCACCATTAACGGATATGTGCAAATGAAATCACAAGTACATATATAGATATAGATTATACACAAGGTGAGGGGCCCTAGATAGCTAAGTTAACCTATTATTCTGGTTGACTATGAATTATGGGGGACGTTATGGGGGATGTAACCATTGTTAATGGGGTTTATACACCGACATATAAGGGGGCCTCAACTTATGTATATTATATACATATATGTATAATTATACATATGTACATATATACATATATATGCGTATACATACATACATACATAACATAACATGACATGACATAACATAAACATAGCATAACATAACAGAACAGAACAGAACACAACACAACACAACATAACACACATGTATATATATATACATATAATATCTCTACCAGCAACCATGGTTATTGGAATGATGTTCACCAACTTGGTAAATGACGGGCGCCACCTTGTCCCACCAGTTTTCATGAGTCATCGCTGGATTCCAAGGAACCTCGCGGTGTTCCCAAGCACTCGGATCTTTCTCCAGATCTTCAGCTGACCAAACGCAGCCACCCACTGTCCTGCCGAGGGTTAGCATGGAAGAAATCCGGGAATTCCAGAAAGATTAATGGTGATAAATGGTGATTAATGGATGACTAATGGATGATCAATGTAGTTAATGAGGATGATTAATGAAAGACATTGTAACTTTGGGGGTAAAACAATGCAATTTTTACCACCCATGACTGGGAATGGTAAACATACCACCTATTTATGGTGAAATTGGGGATGGTTTACTATTGTTTTACCAATATTAGAGAGACAACCAATGATAGAACCCCCATGGCCCCATACTACTCCCTACTCCCATAAGAAACCCAGCAAAATCCTGAGGATTGCAGACATCAAACCATCAGATGCCACAATTCCACATTGAATTACCCCAACATGGGAACATCCCCCATAGGATCCAAGTGTCATTTAAGCATACCTATTAAATATATATATATACATATACATATACATACACATACATATATATATATATATTACATATATATATATATGTCCTGATATGCTCTGCGCCTGTGTATATAATCACAAATTCCAGACCTCCAACAACGGATTTTATGTATCTGCGTCTGAAAATAGTTTAGCCTGAAATCGATATTTTCCACTGGGTTCTGTCATTAAAATTCCCCATTTTCAAATGGAATGACCATCCCCAAACTGCAAAAAAAAGTAACCCTCTGGTAAACTAACATAACTATGGAAAGATCCACCATTTTTCATGGGAAAATCCACTATTTCTATGGCCATTTTCAATAGCTTTTTGTATGTTTACCAGAGGGCCCTCTGTTTATTTAACATAGCCATGGAAAATTGCCCATTTATAGATGGTTTACCTATTAGAAATGGTGATTTTCCATAGTTTTTTGTTAGTTTACCAGAGGGTAACCCTGGTAACTCGCACCTTGGATCACAGTCTTTCTTAACGCCGCCCATGAGGCGACCACAATTCTTGCTGTCGACCTTTGGAGCAGCACCCAACCTGGGGCCATGGGTCGATAAACGTTGGTTTTTGTGTTATACAAAGTGGGGCCCCCGTTTGATAGCTAAGTTGCCCTAGATAGCGTTCAGTTGGTTTATAACTCCAATAACTATGGTTTATGATTTATGGTACTTATAACTATAGTTATTGGGGCTTATAAACCAACTTATAACTAGGGGGCCCCACATTGTAGGAATCCCCAAGAAAATATGGAACATTAATCCTCCTGGATTTTTAGCAAGATTTGACTTTTCTATTCTTTTGCTTCGGTTGCTAGATACAGATTAGTTGGTCTCTTTGCGGATTCGAGATGTGGCTCGGTTTTTCCATTCGAAACACTGTCCAAAAATGGGTGGAATTTAGGTCTCGAATGACGCAGGAGGATCCTCAGTGAACATGAACATGCAGAGTAAAGAAACTTTCAATCCATTCATGTATCTGCATCTCGAAAAAATACTGCAGATGGTTGCAAAAGCTGCAGTATTACACCATCTGCAGTATTACTAAACCTCTCCCAAGAAATAAGCACTATTCCAGGTTTTTGCTATTTGGGGTGGACTTTGGTACTAGGGGGAGAGGATTATGATTGATGTAACCAAATATGAATATGAACATACAAGACATTCAAGGATATATGTATATATATACATATATACACATATTAAGTCCTGCAATATCAATATCATGGGATGCATAACTCATGCGATGAAGGGGATGGGACGGAATTATTGATGTAACTTGGGTTTGGCATAAACTAGGATATCCCTAAATCCACTCGTTCATCATCATTTCGCCTTTTTAAAAACTTGCCTTTTTTTTGGGAGTATATACTTCCTTTTCAAACAAAAACACTTGTACAATCCAGGATAATACAGGTTTCTACCAAAAAAAACTAGTCGATGTATATAAAATCAAGGTCAAAAAAGAGGATATGTACAAACATCGACTGGAAAATCATGGTATATCTGGTCCAAATCTAAGGGATATATGATATATATATATATATATATCTGACATGAAGTGACAAAAACCCAGGCCCCTTAAAGGCGAGTTGACATCACTGGGGTAGCTCACCGTAAGCTCAAATAGTGACTATGTAAGTAATTTCACATCTTGTTTGGGGGTTACTATACATTATACATGTACTTCATACTTATATAATATATATATATATGAACTTCATACATATAATTATATATATAATATGTATATAATTACAAACCTAGACCCTCCGTTAGTACCCACAAAAATGCTGTCTTACCCCATATATTTGGAAGGTCAAACGGTATATGATTGCTAAAATAGTGACTTGTTTCAGTTTCCATCTTTTTTTTGAGTCACTATACATACTTCACGATATATATATATACATTTACATTATTACAACATAATAAAATAAATTAAAATATAGTATAGTATAGTATAATATAATATAACATTATACATTAGATCATATTATACTTTACTATATAATATAAAATGATACCCTCTGGTTATTTAACATAGCCATGGAATAGATGGCCCATTTATAGATGGTTTACCTAGCTATAAAGTGGTGATGTTCCATAGTTATGTAAGTTTACCAGATGGTATTTAACATAACTATGGAAAATCACCATTTTTCATGGGAAAATTCACTATAAATGGTGATTTTCCATAGTTATGTAAGTTTACCAGATGAGATATTCACATTTTTTGTAGATCCCCCATGGCCGCCGAAGGGACATGGAATCCTTCTGCTCCGAGCTCATTAAGGGCTCCAGGTACCACTTGTAGAGTGGGGCGCAGTTACACGGCAGACGCGCCTCAGACGACACGTGGTGTGGATCACCATAGAAAGAAGGTGCTTTCTCTAGTGAATGTATATATATATAATATGTAATTATATTTATATATATAATGTTATGAATCTATGAATCTATGATACTATATATATATATATTGTATCATATCACATCATATCATACATGATATATATATAGTATTATAGTAATTGTAGCATATATTTACATTCTACAACATATCATACTATCTAAATACTGATTTCCGTTTATCGGGCAACATGTCCCAGAGCGAGGCAGAACAAAATCACGGCATCTTTGTGACCAACGGTTCCAAACTGGAGCAACCAATAATCTTGCAGTCGAGACATTTGACAAAGGGGTTTTTGAATGTTTCGGAGTGAATTCTGATGAAATTCTGCAATCTTAAGCAGGCTCTAGCTGCAAAAAGTACCACATCATCCAATTTTCATCACAGCGTCGTTCCCCTCGGCATCCGGGAGGTTGTACGCAGGCATGATGCCAGCAGGAAAACAGAAGCCCTTGCCGTGCACCGGTCCACCTGAGGATGATGTCAGCGAATAAAAACACATAATTATTGTATTTGTATACAAACACTGCTTGGTGGTTAAAAAACCATCTTGAAACATAAAGTCAATGGGAAGGATGACATCCCATATATTATGGAACATAACAAATATTCCAAACCACCAACCGGTACTGTATTTGTATACAAACATATATGATACGGTAATTGTAGATATGGATCATCAAAAAATCCCCAGGCCTGAATGTCAGGCCTCATAGTCTGCTAGGAAAGGACATCTGACCATTGCCGTCCTGCAGAACCCATAGGGGGGTTCTATAAATGGGGGATACCTAGAGATACCCCAATAGCTGGATGATTTATAATGAACAATTATATATATATTATATCAAAATGATTTAAAATGGATAAACATAATTTATGATCCATTTATGTTTAAATATCATTTAAATGTACCCGAAAACTTATGGACATCCACGTATGAGTAGTGATTGAAATGTAGCCCCGGTGAGGCTGAATCTTTACATTTACATCAATCAACCCTATGGATCCATAGAATCACCCCGAAATACTTCCGAAGTATTTAGGTACTTGGATCCATAGGGAACATGGTCAAATGATGATGATGATGATGATGATGCTGATGATGATGCTGATGCTGGTGCTGGTGGTGGTGGTGGTGATGGTGGTGGTGGTGCTGGTGCTGGTGGTGGTGGTTGTGGTGGTGGTGGTGGTTGTGGTTATGATGGTGATGATGATGATGATGATCATCATCATTATCATCATTATCATCAGGATCCAGAAGTAAAATCTGCAGCTCCTCATCAGGCCCCATCTTGAGACCACACATCGTTAAAGGGTCAACAAGCAACGGCTATGTTTCTTGGTTTCCAAGCCATAGGTCGCATCCATGTAGCTCGCCCAAGACATGGTACCTCACAGCAACAGGGTAAGTTCCGGCCGAATTCGACCTCTGAAAACAACACAACAAATCAGATCCCAAAGGAACAACGGCAGCGCGAGAAAAATCACCACATCAAACATGATTTCAGTTGATTTCACAACAACTTTGTCTCGTGCAGTCCCTGCATTCGAACCAGGAGACCAATCAAGGTGGCAAAGAAGGCATAGGCCGTGCTCCTCAGGCGGCCTGGTGGTGGGCCCCGAAAAAGACCATGAATGCGATGACATCTATGGTAATTCTATGGTTATCTATCACATCTACATGGTTCTTTACTTCCGATTGATTCAAACATATTCAAAATGTGTAAAATAGTCATCCTGTTGTGTAGCTATTTTGTGAAAATACCATGCATGGTATGCACTGCAAACAATACAACTTGGACGAAACATGTACAGAGACGCTGAAAAATGTAAGCGAGACATCACTGCGGCAATGGCTCACGCACTGATCTGGCTGGGACTACGATCCGCAAAAGAATCTGCCCTTTGGATCTCCCCCAAATGGAGTGAACAGGCAAAACATACTGAATGGAATCAACGTCAAACATTAATGGATGATGGATGCAACAAATCATGGTTTTCTCGAACTTCCATAGCATCATCATTGACAGCAGCAAAGCTTGCCATTTGACGTCCAGAGCTTTGGCGTTGGCACCAAGATGATGCAGAAACTCTTCATAGGCACCAAGATAATTTAACAGCTTGCTATTGAAAATTTGGCACCTTTAGTTCGTTGATTTACCTATTAAAGATGGTGATTTTCCAGTTCGCTATGTAAACGTTTACCAGATTTTACCAGAGAGTATCCAGCGAGTAGCTGAACTTGGTGTGGGATTCCCCCAATGCCATGGGATTGAAACCATCCCCCAGTCATGGTGGGTTTATGGCAGCCAGGCTTTCCAACATTGCTACACTATTGAACACTAACCACAATGAATCATGAACATGTATTAAGCGCAATGAATCATTGTTAACATGTTAACATTTATTAACCACCATTAATCATTAACCACAATTCACCATCAGGTCATGCCACGAGTTTCCATTACGAAACCACGAAGCATTCGCTCTCCTGGCCTCTATTGCGGGCCTGTTCCTTCTTCAGCAATTCTTCATTGCCTCAAAATTCCAGCCGCGCCCAAGGGGCCGCATCCGTGGCGCATCAATTGGTCAATTTGAAATTTCTTTGATCAAAAACAAGTGTGGCTGAATCAGGCTGAATTCCACCCTGTTTGGTGAAAAAAAAAAATGACCAAAGGGTCGTACTAGCCAGTGATATTTGTTGGTGTTTTTCGACCCAGTCGACTAGTTTGTATCCCCCATAAACCCAACACTTAAGCTTGCTACGTAATATATATATATATAAATCAGCTATAGATCCCATTCACCAGCTAGGTCCCATTAAATCATATTAAATGCTATAAAAAACAGGCTCTAAAGCTATCAACCACCAACGCACCAAGGGACTCATGCCGGACTCATTGGCCCGTTCTTGCTCCACCTGCGCTGCGCCACCGTTGTTGCAGAAAATGCGATGAAGATCAGGATTCATGATCATCAAATGTCTAATTATTAGTTATATTTAGTTATAAATCATCAGGATTGATGATCGGGATTAGAAAAAAATCAGATTCATCAGCTATCATATGTTAGTTTATCTGGTTGGTGGTTTGAACCCCTCTGAAAAATATGCTCGTCAGTTGGGATGATTATTCCCAATATATAGAAACATAAAAAATGTTCCAAACCACCAACCAGCTATGATCTGAGATGGGTCAAGCTCTTTTTTTCCCATCAATTTTGAGGACACCAAGTTGGTTTTGACATCGACGCTTCAAACAAATCTCATCAGTTCTCATCTACTCGTTGAACTTCTCAAGCGCGAACCATGGAACCTCTTCAGCGCTACGGGCCAACTGGAGCTTGACGAGGATCCTCACCGTCCATCAGCATCTGAAAAACTCTCTGGTCATGGAGCGATGCAACATGGTCTATTTATAGATGATAAACATATTTTTATTGTTTTAATTATTATTACTATTATCATTATTATTATCATTATCATTATATATCTAGATGATAATAATTTACCTATTGAAAATGGTGATTTGTCCAGTTCGCTATCTTAAAATACCAGAGGCTAGATGAAAAAATACACCCGACAGGTCCATTTCCACATGACCCACTGTCCTGGAGAGATCATGAAATTGATGTCGAATATGTCCCAGTTTGATCCATTTTGAGACAAAACCACATATCATATTGGTTGGTCAATATTCCCATGCTATAGTATATATATAGAGATTATATATAGATTATAATTATTCAGTTTATGTATTACTTGCGTTGTCCTCATTGTTGGTTATGTCAACAAAACTATCTCCAAAACTCTCCATGTCCTCCCTTCGCCGCTTGGAAGCCGCAGAAAGTCTCTCCTCAAAGGTGAGGCAAACAACTCCCACACCTCCAAGGCCATGGCATGCCATGGAAAGTGGCTCTGCTTGGTGTTTTTTTGCCACCTACCATTGTGGTTAATGTACTGTTAATAATGGTTAATGATGATGGTTATGATATGGTTAATGATGGTTAATCACAATCTGGTTGGTGGTTGAGCCACCTACCCCTCTGAAAAATATGACTTCGTTCGTTAGTTGGGATGATGACATTCCCAATATATATATATATATACACATATATATATATGTATATATATATATACATATATGGAAAGTCATAAAATTCCATGGTTCCAAACCACCAACCAGTTGACATTTGATCCACCAAAGTGGCTGCATCCTGTATCCATCTGTATCCATCTGTATCCACCTGTATCCAGTGATCAGTCGTGATCTGTTGGTGATAGCATCTGTTTGAGCACCGCGCCTCTCCGACAAAGGATCGCAGCAGCATGTTGGCAAGGCCCCGTTCTTGGATTTCCTCAGCACCTGGCGGTAGGAAACACATGACCTGTGCGGCGGCATGGCGTATGGCCTTGAAGTTGTCAGCCGCTAGCTGGAGATGACGATAATGATGGTGATGACGAGGATGATGATGTCAAGAATTGCGGGAATGATGACGACGATGACGATGACGATTAGGATTTTGATGATGATGATGATGATGATGATGCTGATGATGCTGATGCTGGTGTTGGCAGTGGCAGTGGCGGTGGCGGTGGCGGATGCGAACATGGCCAACTTTATCATTTCTTCTTTGAATACCCTGCAGACTGTGGCTCAACAGTCCCTAAATCCTCTAAGTTCATCACCACGTTCACCCCTTTCATCCCCTATGAAAATTCACCATGTTCATCCATATTCATCAATTTTATTCCATATTCATCCATGTTCATCCATATTTCCATATTCATCAGTATAAATCCACACTAATGTCAACCCTGGATTTAATAAACCCCTAGGCTGTTTAATTGGGATGGTACCATTTAAGTATCAGATTATGACTATTGGAAGAGTACCCCCCTAATAAACCATGGTTTATTAATCCGGGGTTGACATTACCCTCTGGTAATTTAACATAGCTATTGAAAATGACCATTTATAGTGAGTTTTCCCATTAAAAATGGTGATTTTCCATAGTTATGTTAGTTTACCAGAGGGTAATCCATATGAAAAATGGCATTTTCCCTCAGAAAAACTGGGCATTTCTTCGGCCATCGGCCCAGGGACTGGTAGTGGCGATGGACCGAGGGGCCCAGCGAAGAAAGTCCAGGACCTGAGCTTCGGTCAGATTTCTCCAAGGTTTTTCGGAGGGTAAACAGGAAAACCTGGGGGAATCCTCGAAAATGGAGAAAAATTGAGCTTTATAGCTGGGAAATGCCGGGAACATATATGGGAAAACCATCTAACATGGGAAAGGATCACTATAAAATCTATAAATAGAGGTTTGTAGCTGGGAAAATCATCTATAAACCTAGGGGTTTTCCCAGCAAACCATGTTGGATTACCAGAGGAGAAAGGATACATGGATGGTATTAGATGGTGGATTGGAAAAAACATGGCTGGCATCGTCATCGATTTTGTTGAGAAAAACGGATGTGTATCTGAGGAAAAATATGACCAATTATTATCCGATCCTTCATGGAAAAATGGACGGTGTGCAGCGGGATGGAGAGTGTTTCTAGACACGAAGGGGGGCCCACAGCATTTCACATCAGGACATGGGATGCCCATGGTACGAGTATGTATATATATATGTATATATCCATAAAAGTAGTAACAGCAAAAAATATATAGAAAAGTAAATACTCATAAATATTCCCTATTTTCGTGGGCTTGTCTCATATTTTACCAATTTCGATATCTTTACGGGTTACTAACAAAAAACCACGCATTGTCAGCGTTGCGCACCTCCTGGTTGGTGCCACAGCTCCGCAGGGCCTGCAAGCAGAGCTAGATCAGAGGATCACAGGTATTCGTGGGTCATATCAATTCATATCAATTCATATCATTTCACCATGTGAAATCATTCAAACTTATAATTGTATAATTACAAATTGTATATATGTGCAACATATGTATATATATAGTTCAAACAAGTTTCAAGCACAAGGAGGGCAAGCATGTCAGGACAGATGATGGCCCAAACATCTGTGCACAATTTCTCCACGAGGCAAACATCTTAAGACCTGTGACAAAAAAAATGGAAATTGCTTAAAGAATGAGAGTTTTCCTGAACCTTCCCAAAGCATATGACAGAAAACCTGTGGAAGAACCTTGGGGCTTTAGCATTTTTTAACGCTTTCTATTGAACTGAGTATGATTCAAAACCTGAAGACCCTGTGGACATCTTGTTTGATTCTGAGTATTCTCAACCATACATGTGCTTTGATAACTCAAGTCTGAGCCGTAAATCCATGTATTAACTACTAGAAAAACCAAGGTTGATGCATATGCGAGTTGAGCATTGACGATATTGATAAAAATGTCATGATTGTATCATCCCTTCTATATGCTTACTGTATCCTTGAATCAGTCGTCATATCAAATTTAGGGATATCCCATCCTCAAATCCCAAACCAAATAATATATATATATATATATACATATATACAGATACGTACCTAGCACCTATTTTTTGTATGTGTGTATACATACATTAACATGTATATTCATGTATTAATGATACACACAAGGTGAGGCCCCCACTTATGTTTGTTGGGGGCCGACAAATTGGTAAATACCCAGAGCCTCCTATTTATGATGGCCTAAACCATCATTTGTATCAGTACTTGGATGGTCTAGAGTCTAGGTATATATATATGCATACATACATACATACATATATATATATGATATGTATATATATATATATCAAAGATATATATGATACACATATATATATATCATATATATATATATGTATATGTATCATATGTATATATATTAAATATATATATATATATATACATGTATGTCACACTTTCTTATCAGAAACCATCTATCTATGGGGCTATCACCATTAGCCATCCCCAGCCTCGAGCTTCGCTGGAAGCGATTCACTCCTCTCACTCAGGACCCAGAAGTCCTGCGGACATGGGGATGGATTTCTATTAATTTATATTACATGCATGATCTATTCAGATTCAATTTATTATGTGTATATATATATGTATATATATATAGATAATTATCTATACACATATTATGTAATTATATATATATAATTTTCTATACACATATTATGTGTATATATATAGGTACACCTTAGCCAAATTTGCACTGGCTTTTGATTGAGATGTTACCGGGATTCCATTCGGACCAAACTCAATTTCACGCGAATACGGAAATCCGGGACAAACAAGGTATGTGTTTGGATTAAGAAACACACCATCGGTGTCGACCCCAAAATGATTCGCACGCTGAAGCATAAAGTGGCTGAAGCAAACTGTCTATACTGTAATTATTTCAACACTTTTGTGGATGGTCCAATTGATGCCTCAAAACTCATCTGTCATTGGAAAACTCTGATTGTAGCTCATTCGCTCCCCATGTTCCATTAGGAATATTGGTGTCTCCTAAATCGAAAGACCCCAAAACCTTTGGTTTCCCCAAGTTCCCAAGTTCCGAAAATGTGTCATGGTCAAGTTATGTCAAGTCCAAGCCCAATGGATGGATTTTCATCCAGCAACCTGTTTGCGCAAAAAAAATACCCAACTACTAACTCGACCAAAAAACATGATTTTGGGGAAACAACTTGACCCAAGTACAGCAACTTATATTTAGATATAAATGATCTTAGAAGTAACTTATATAGTATCGCAGTATATCATAGTTATATGATGTTAAGTTTATATATATATACATACTGGTTGGTGGTTTCAACCCCTCTGAAAAATATGAGTTCGTCAGTTAGGATTATTAGTCCCAACATTTCCCAACTGAATTGAAACAAAAAAAATCATGTTCCAAACCACCAACCAGTATATATATATATCTATATATGTATGTATATATCTATGTATGTATATATATATATATATGTATGTATATATAATATATATATATATGTATGTATGTATATATATATACATATGCTAAAGATGTGAATCCCAGCTGATCCCATCCTTTCTGAATGTCTCCAGGGTATCTTTGGAAGAGATGCCCAGCAACTGCGAGAGATGCAGAAGTCGATCTTGCACCTGAAGCCCCTTACGCCAGCTCTGGGAACATCTGAGGGCCCCAATCCATTTCAAAATGGCAGAATAAAAACGGGAAAGAATGGACTTGTTACATGTTTCTATATGTTTTCATGTGAAGGAGTTATGTTTTAATACATGGGGAAGAATTACGATTGAATCGGGAAAAATCATGATGCGCTATGACATTTGGTATTTTGTGCCTGCCCCATGGTATACATACCAGTGCTTTGCCTGCCCCATGGTATACATACCCCCCACTCTTCAGTAGCAAAGACACCGCCAATGTGGTGCAGTCCAGACCTCGGAAAGTGGCGGATGTGAAGATGGACATCGGGCTTCCTAAAAATGGGGGGTATTCCTAAATCATCCAATCACATCTGCTTGGTGGTTGAGCCCTACCCCTCTAAAAAATATGAGTTCGTCAGTTGGGATGATGACTATTGAAAACTGAATGGAAAAATCAAATTCATGTTCCAAACCAGCAACCATTTATAGATGGATTTTCCCTTATAAACCATCCAGCGAACTTGGGGTATCCCCATGACTATGGAAACCCCCATATCAAACAGCGGGAAACTAATGGTCAGACCAGATCATCATCTTATGGTGGAAAGGATCAAGGGCGGCCCTCCGCCTATGATGTGTGGCCAGTCAGTTGGATCTTCTTCACAAGAACGATGTTTTCTGCTGCAGGCAATTTAACGAAGCCAACATGTCAACTGTTTTTTTTAATGGAATTAAACCTTCGACCATGGGTGACTTCTACTGAATTCTCATTCTACGTCATGATCAGCAGCTGAAACGCAAGTCAAGATATTGATCAGCCTACAGTAACAGTCAATACCGTTAACTGAGTGAGCATAAAATTATGTATATACTTATATAATATGCCATTTGGAGGTTTCCGGAAATGGGGGGTACCACATTTCATCATCCAAAACTCGACTACCGTAGTGAAACCTATGGGTTTTGGGGATCCACCATTTTAGGAAACCTCCTCTTTAGTCGGATTTCATGGACTTTTATTGTACTGTAACACAGACATTTTTTGGTGTCAATAATCGTTAATTTTCGTCTGGCAGCGTTGCTCAAACAAAGACTTGCATCGTTAATTTAAATGGTGGCAATTTATATAAATGGGTTTGTCTGAAAGTAATCCCCAGATTCGATGGTCATCATCATTGAATGGCCATTGTGCCATTCAAACGGGGTTTTCAAGTCCTCTTCCACGCCACCACAACTAAAACGTCTCATGGCTCTCTGCCGGCCGGGCAACCATAGTATTCGCGGCGTGCCGCTGCTAATGGAAATTGATCCTTCCAAATCTCCTTATGTCACCACTGGAAGCGCTACAAGCCAATGAGCGGTGGGGTCACTCTTTTCACTGCTGCTATCCCTGCGACTTAGGCTTAAACATTTGAGTATGTCTGAAAATGGGGTAAACCGTATACCCATAAAATGACTGTTTAAGAGGGAAGCTGATCATTAACCTATGGATTTACAGGTGAAGTACCCGTTTTGTTTTTAGACCAACCCACCTTAAAGCCTCATCTGCTATCATCCAGCCATCATCCAGCCATCACCTCATCTATATTCTATATAAAATTACTCTGTTACCATGGTGATCTATTTTTTGTTAAACATAAACCAACAAAAAGTGGGGGCTCCTACCATCTGCACCAAGTCGCATATGCAGTTTCCGCATTTCGACGATCCTCTTCCGTGGCGTTCCGGAACGAGGCTTTCGACGAGACATCGCTGGCAGAGACCATCTCCTTTGGCGACGAAAACAATGGGAAACAAGTACTCAAATCCTGGGGTAAAACATGGCAAAACATGGCAAAACATGGTAAAACATGGTAGTTAAAACAGCATTTTTTTCAGGCTACAAACAGAAAAAACACCTAGGGAACATGGTGGAACATGGTGGAACATGGTGGAACATAAAACTAGCTTTTTTAGATCCAACAATTGCATCTATTGCTGCCATAAAAAAATCATGGCCAAACATAGATCCAATGTTTTGTCACAGTATTTTGATTTGGCCAAGACATTTTCTTAGGCGGTTGATGGCTGTTGCCTATGAGGCAAGGAGGCAACTTGATGCATGAGAAAATCACTGACTTGGACGTGTGGCAACTATGTTTTTCTTGCACAGGGGTTTTGGAGCGATCATGTCGGTAAAACAATGTCATAAACCACCCATTTTCCTGGGAATGGTTTCTACATACCAGCTATAAAAATGATGATTTTCCTGGGGGATGGTGTGCACATGACCAGCGGTTTTAACCACAGCCACTATTCTCTGGGGCATACTGAATCACTAGCATTCCATCTTGGTGTACTGTGCATTTCCAGGGCCTGGCTGTCTAGTTGATGGCATCCCAAAGACACTCCGATAGTTCGCCATGGGATCGCCAGCAACAATTGGCGATGATATACAATAAGTGATTATATACCATATACAGTAACATATACATCTCAACATGATCATCAATAATTGATCATCATTCATGATCATATTACTAAGTAATATTATCATCAGTAATATGATCTACATTATCGTCAGTAATATGATCTACATTAATGTTATAACAGTATAACACTCCAAGTAATCATCAACCAACAGACTCCAACAGGGGCCGAACACAGCAGCCACTGGTCGACCTTGAGGTCGCGACCGTAAGTAGATTTACCAAGCTGATTTACCATGGCTGTTTTCCATGTTACCGTGTTTAATCACCATGGAATTTACTGTAATTAACCATGGATTTACCATGGATTTTACTGTAATTAACCATGTTTAATTACCATGGATTAATCCCAAAGTTAGAATTTACCATGGAATTTACTGTAAGTATGCTGAAAAATTGGCTGAACTTCGATTGATTTCTAGACCCCAATAGCCAATAGATACTAGCTATTAATAGATCATACACCAAACATGGATCCCCCCTGGTACCCTCTGGTAATATAACGGTTTGCTATTGAAAATTACCATCGAAATAGTTGAATTACCCATTAAACATGCTGATTTTCCAGTTCGCTATGTTAGTTTACCAGAGGGTAATCCCATTATTAACCATTCTTAACATTTATGAACCATTATTAACCACAATTATTAACCATAACTGGTTGGTGGTTTTAACCCCTCTGAAAAATATGAGTTCGTCAATGGGTTTCGGATGACAAGCCAAAAAAATGAAATGGATTGAAATGGAACATCAAAAATCTTCGAAACCACCAACCAGAGACCATTGTAGTATAGGTTAACAACCATCATCCATGACGCCGAGATACAGCCACCTCGCCTCCGGACCTGGCCATTCTGGCCATTCTGGCCATTCCACGTGCCGGAGGTACGGGACGAGGCACCAGAAATGCCATGGTCGCCAGCCATGGGCAAAGGAACCTGAAAATCGAAGGCGAGAGATCGGAAAATGTAGGAAGATTTATGAAGATGTAGGAAGATGTAGTTGTAGGAAAGATTAGGAAAGCACATGGAAGCAGCTGGATTCTCCATGAATTTCGAAACTCATGATATATCTAGCCCAGGTATCACAGGACACCAGCACCTAAGCGGTGTCATGTCAGCTTCACTGGATTGCTTCAAGGGAAAATCTACAGGAAACCATGGTTTTCCCCATCAAATATATGGCTTTCCTGTATTTTGTTCCCTTCAACTAATCCATTGACAGCTGAAACTGAAGATGAAAACTTGAAACATGAATTTTCTCTGACTTTGGCCCACGCAATGGCACAAGAGTCAAAGGTACCGTATGCTCAACCCAGTCACAAGAGTTTTGGCAGCACTGGGCGACCACAAAATCGCTGCATGGCTGCTGCTGAAGAACGTCAGAGGTGATGATAATTCGATGTCATATACGAACGTTAGAGGTGATGATGATTCCATACAATGTGGTGCCCACGAAGTTCTCATTTGGTTTATACCCCGTTTAACCAGTTCGATCTACACATTTATATATCTATTATATCTACCATAGTTATTATATCATTCTCATCTGGAATGGTCCTCTGTAATCAATCACCTTGTAAATGGCGGTGTTGTGGAGGTACAGTGACTTAGATTTTCGCCGGACTGGATGGGTCATAGTCTTTTATATGTATCTGGAAAAATATGAAACATCCATAAAAATCATGAAAATCATGTTGGGTATCTACAGTATCTATACCTGTTGAGGACTCCAACCACAGCTCATTTTTTCTCTTCATGGAACTGGATCCACGGCGCGACTTTTCCGCAAAGGGTCCCCAAAAACGGCGTCCAATGGGTCATCAGCTCCGTGGGAAATCCATGGAAAAAATTGGGCATAGGAAAATCTATGGAAAATCTATGGAAAGATCATTCCACAGGTGTCCTGGAATTTTCATGAATTTTCCCTGATGTTCCGCCATGTTTGAAAAGATAGATTTTTTGTAAACATGACTGTCGAGCTGCGCTCGAATCAAGAACTGATCCCGCAGTTCTTAGGTTCTGAAAGATCATTCCATGAATCTTCTCTCAGCAGGAGTCATGGTGCTATGATCAAGTTGCATGTGGCTTATGGATGATTTCTAATTGATTTCTATGGTATGAGTCATTCATCCCATGCCAAATCCAAACAGAATGGCTACGGTATATGAATCCCCTTAAGATGGATTGATGACCGCTTACCCCCGAAATTCCCTGGAAATCCGACAAGCAAAATCCGACAAGTACAAGCTGGACAAAAAACACCACTGCTTACTGAAAATACAGAACGGTTACCCTCTGGTTATTTAACATAGCCATGGAAAATCATTTTTAATAGGTAAACCATCTATAAATGGGCCATTTTCCATGGCTATGTTAAATAACCAGAGGGTAACGGCTATTGACTGTTGCAATCTGTCGCAACTTCAGCACCAGTCCCAAACTCCCGTGATCTAAACACAGATCACAAACCGACCTTCGCAGGCGCAGAAGCAGCACCTGAGGATCCGCAGAGATCTTGGGATATCTTGGGAATCATTCTGGGATGCCAAGAAAACTGTGGAGATGTCATGCACTTTTCTTGGCATTGTTTTTATATCTCATTTGTTGATGACTCAGATATCATAATAATATAATATAATAATTGGCCTTCAGATATCATCAAGAAACGAGATAACATGTGCCAAGAAAACATTATACTTAAATATATTTAAATAGCATGAAAACATTGGGATTTAGATACACAATGATATCAAGCAACAGGACATATTGATATTTTATATATGGGATTGAAATAGATGAGACATTGGGATTTAAACCAACAAGACGTTAGGGATTTAACCCACCAAAATTTGCCGATGGATTTCACCAACGAAAAAAACGGCGGACCTCGGAATGTCCTTTAGCCGACATTCACTCAGTTAGTACAACCCCTCTCACCAGCATTCTTGACTTTTCAGTTTGATAGCTCGCAAAGGTACCATCCCAGAATTGGTTTGAGGGAAAATCAACAACTTTATTCTGGTTGGTGGTTGAGCCCTACCCCTCTGAAAAATGATGGACAACCCGTCAGGCAGGGGATGATTTTTCCATTCCCAACTGTTTCTGGACAGTCATTTACCAGCCATGTTCCAAACCACGTGTTCCCAGGTCGTGGCTGTCCAGATGGTGGTGGCGACATGAAAATGTTGATCTACAAAAAATGTACATTAATGTAGCTAAGGAACTACACTTAGAACACTATAATTGGAAAACACAGATCAAAAATTCGGCAGGGGAATGTGTTCTAAGTATACACTTAGAACACCAGCCAAAAACATACACTTAGAACATATTTATGTAATTTTTCCTGGGATTGGTTATGAATAATCTGCATGAGAGCAAGTAAGTAGTAGTACTGTATGACCCCAAAAGAACAACCAATCAGCAGTTGGTATTTGTTCATGGCTAACTTCTCAGCAAGCATCGAAGAATGTGGTCCATGCATCTACCCTCACTGAGGTTGAAACTGTCTGAGTTTTGGAGGCCGCCAACAGCTCATGAGAAGCTGTAGCCTCTCGCCAACTGATGGCAGCTTCATCAACTCCAAATAATTCAAATGTGGAGTGTGTGTGTGTTCTGCTTGCAAGACACTTCCGGCAATAAACAATCATATTCAACGACACATGTGTCTACAATATCCATATACACTACGTGCCTGTACTGGCACACTGTACGATTTCCTCAGATTTCAGACAGAATTCCAGAATTCACATTCCAGATTTCCGTGCTGCAAATCCATCAATCTTAAGCAACAAAAAACATCAAACTGAGCCAGGCCCTGCCTCTTCCAAAAGCACCATGCGTCCACCATCTCCCCAAACGTCACGAGAAATGCTTCTTTCAAGGTCATGGCACCTGCAAGGAATCCTGTTGTTGTTGGATTGATGACCACCCAGCGTTAAACATGTGCAACTTCATCCATGGTTTGACTATGACACATGTGTATATATATATATATATGTACATATATATATGGGTGTATAATTTATATGCATATAGATATATATATATACATATATATATATATATATATAAACAAATGTGTGTATAATGTTGTCACCCATTCACAACCCATGTGCAATTCATCTACAATTTCCCACATCCAAGTGAGTAGCAACACTGCGCTTCCCTGTCGACTAACTTGTCAACATATTGCCATCTTCTGTCTCTCATCCCCTGCGATTCTGCCTTCTTTGAACATGATTTTGCAAGAAAACCACCAGAAATGGTTCCAAACACTTTCGAATAGAAGGTACTTAAAGTCCAAAGGAAAAAAAATATACCCCAAACACTTCCGATTTTTTCAGGGGATCTAGAGCTAACCACAACAGATCCATCTTTGATCCTCTGCCCGGCAACCGGCCTCAAAGCACCACCCCAATCAGGGCGCCAACAAGGTGTATTCCTGAGTGTCATTCCAGTGCTCAAAAGGGGTGTAGGATTCCAATGTTTTTAGTTTGGAACATCACTCGGAGGTTTCCTGAAATAGGGGTACCCCCAAATCATCCATTTATACATGGATTTTCCATTATAAACCATCCAGCTATTGGGGTACCCCCATTTATGGAAACCCCCATTTAATTTCAGAAACCCTTGCTTTTGATCTTCTGTTCTTGGGTAGTGATTCCATGGTCGCTGGAGGTCTTGTGCAGAACAATGACATGTTGGCACATTAAATGGCCCCAAATGCGTTGGTCTCAAAATAGGTTACGCCCCAAATCCTATGGTTATCATATGGGGGTTTCCTAAAGGGAGGGGGGTGTTGTGAGCGCCAAAATGTTTGCATTTTTGACATTTCATTTCTGCAAAAGATACCAAACCCTGTTCTTTCCAGAACCAAACATTGTTGCTTCTGTAACAAAAGCAACCACTGTGCATTCTCAACAGCTCTCCCAATGTCCTACATAGATACGTTGTTTCAGCCAAAGCAAACATGAATAATAGATAAAAACAACAAAACAAACAAGTGTAAGTGCCTTTCCAAAGAGTGCAGCATTGCTTTAAAAATGTATAGGCTCTACATCTCTACAGGAGTTTCCCTCAACATATGCAATAGTTCTTTTGGTCATGCCTTTCCAAAGAGTGCAGCATTGCTTTAAAAATGTATAGGCTCTACATCTCTACAGGAGTTTCCCTCAACATATGCAATAGTTCTTTTGGACATGTGCATTCTAAACAGGTACCAATTTATGCAATATGTTCTCTATAAACAATGAAGGAAAAATGAATTTGCAAACTGCACTTGTAAAATAATTTTGCATAAAGAACGCCATTCCTCAATGTAACAGTCCCTTTGCAAAAAGTGTGGCATTGATTGAAAGATAAGTAGCATTTAAAAAATGTGCATTTTAAGCAGGCACCAATTTATGCAATTTGTTCTCTATAAATAATGAAGGAAAGAAACATGCAAACATCACTTGTAAAAAGACTGTGCATAAAGAACACCATTCCTCCATGTATGCAACAACCTTTTGCACGCATTGTTGCATTCTTTGAAAGATGTGTAGCATTACTTCCCAATTTCAAGGAGAACCCTCCTATGTATGTACTGAATGATTTCAGAAATCATAGCATTCCTGTAGGAAAAATGTATATAGTATGCTGTTTTGCAAGATTGAATCTATTCTTGAATTACTACAGCATGGTTTTGACAAGAGCGCCATCTTACTAACACATTGAAACATGTGTTTTACCTTTGAAAGTGCAGATTCTTGTTTGCAAAGTGGGCAACATTATTGTAAGGAAGTGTAGCAAGAGCCTACTCTAGATTCCATTGATGATGCAAAAGCCTGTTTTTAAAATATGTGTTTTTTGTTGTAAAGCAAGTATTGCACCACCTTCTGCAGCATATCCGTTCAAAGAGTACAACTGTTCTATGGAAATGTTGTTTTGTTTTGAAAAGGGTGCTATGTGACTCGACTTTCAAAAAGTCAACAAAATGTGCAATATCCTTTCTTTGTGAACAAAGTAGAATATGGCTTCAAACAATGCGCAAAAAAATGTAATTATAGATTATAAATCTTAATGCGAACTTATTCAAATATAATCATGGCAATGTAAGCAAGTGCTACATGCCTATGAAAAGAGTGCAGTAGCACAACTACCTACAATATCTCTTTCAAACTAGTGCAGCATTTGCTCGAAAAAAAAATAAAAAATATGTCAAATTACTGCAAACTGTGCAAAATCTGTGTCAATCAAGGAAAGCCTTCCTTTGAAGATGCACATATGTATGTGTATGTATATATATACATGTGTGTCTATGTATGCATATGTAGTTTTAAAAGTGAATAGTTTCTTGGCAAATCTGTGTAGCATCCCTCCAAGAAAGTGTAACATGAGCCTACAGCAGATTCCATCGATGATGCAATAGTGCTTGAGAAGATGGTCGTATTACTTCAGCAAAGTGTGCCACCAATTTATACAACATGTTTTTCAAAAAAGTATAGCATGAAACTAAGGTTATTATCTAGGACATGGCCGAACATTTCAAAATTGGAACACACAGTCTACAAAAAGGTGCAGATGGCTGAAAGTTACCAAAACACAAAAAACTTGGAAAAAACAAAAAAAAGTTTCAGAGAGTCTTGGCTGGGACCCCCCCTTCCAAAGAGTCTAGAAATATTGTGTTTTTTTTGTTTTTCCAAGGTTTTTACCAAGTGTGGGGTACTTCAAGGAAACTGGCATGAATCACAGGCAAAGCTGTCAAAGTGCCTTGGGGAATGCAGTAAAACATCTCAAAATATCATCTTAAATCATGGGAAAACTGCACTCCCAGGGGCTGCCGTTCTGCATAAGAAAGCCAAGAAGCATCATGAGTGGATAAACGACAGCCAAACACACGCGAATGAGAGCAATTAGGGATAACAGCAATGCCAGGACCTATCCTCTAGTTTTCTGTTTGGGGGGGAGCTGAGAGCTCCTAAAAGCAAAAGTAGTTCATTATTTGGGATGCGTTAGAGAAGGGATGAAGCAGAATTGATGTGGATTAATCATTAATCTGGATTAATCCTGGGATGCAAAACTTCGAAAAAACCAAAAAAACAAAAAAAAACCAAAAAAACCAAAGATTTGGCAACTAGTCCAGACATCAGAGTAGTTGTGGAAACATTGTTTTTTTTGTTTTTTTGTTTTTTTTGGTTCGCTCCAGTCGAAAGGAAGAAGTCACGAGTCAATCCGCGAATCTTCGCAGGACTAAGCACTGCGAAGACGACAATTTTGCAGTTCGGGTTAGACGATTGCGCAGTTCGGGTTGGAGGATTTTTGTAGTTCGGGTTAGACAGCAGACAGCAGACATTGGTTGCTTAGTATATCAAATGATTCGTCCTACTCACACAGGCTGTTTTGAGCGCAAAAAAACATGAAACCATCCATAGTATCAAGGCTACATATCCCCAAAATTTCGTTTTTTTAGCGCTCACAACACCCCTTTCTGTTCCTAAAATGGGGGTACCCGTAAATCATCCATTTCAATAGGATTGCCACTATAAACCATCCATTTGGGGGATTCCCACCATTTATGCAAACCCCCATATGTTTCAACCTAATAAAAAACTAATTTGGAGGTCAGTCAATCACGTTGGCAACATCTTTGCAGCTCAAATCACCAATGACCAGCTGGACATAGCTAGACCCTCATCCCGCAACGTGGCAATCTGGACCAAGTTGCAGGAAAAGGATTGCCAGCAAGGACGTTTCGGAGTCTGAGACGTCCTTGCCATGGACTTGGTGCATTCATGTCTATTCAACTAAGGGATAGCAACCCCCCAAGAAAGATACCGAAAGAGATTTACCACCAGTTGATTTCTGGTCGGGTTTTACTTACGGCTATCTTTTTATATCTTTTTGAGTCTTTTTCTTGGGAGACTCCCCAATTCCGATGTCTCATCCTTCTCCCCATTGATGGCCATAGCCAAAGGGTGAATCTAGCATTTTCAGGTTCGGTAAGTTGGGTTGTGGTGCCCCTGTAACTATGCTCTTGGCCCTCACCACTAAGGTCAATTTCAATGGACCTCAAACTACCCACTACTTTCTGACAGCCTGTAACTGTAGAGGCTTTGATCTAGAATTGTGGCTTACTTCTGCACTCATGACATGCTGTGACCTTCCAATAGCATCCCATATAGAAACGACCAAACGCGCAAAAAATACGCCAATTAGATTCATCGACCCAGAGAGTACAGTTTCACACGTAAAACTCAATGGATTGGTGGCATCGCCCCGGATCCAGGGATCCCAGGGATCCCAGGGATCCCAGGGATCCCAGGGATCGTGGGTCAAAAAACAAGTCCATTCTGGTGAACCTTCCAAACCTACAAAAAACGATGGAAAAGTCACCACTTTCAATGGGTAAATCCATTATAAATGGCCATCTTCAGTAGCTATGTTAAATTAACAGATGGTATTTTTTTTGACTTTGTGAACTGGAAAATGCATGAAAATGCGCCATAATCATAGATGATTTTCCGATGAAGAATGGCTATCGAGAGCAAAGTCCTTTTTTTTAACAGATGCTAGGCCTTTATAACGTGACTGTCCGTCCTCCAAGAACTTGGAACTTGACACCGGAGACTCCTGGCTTCCACTTCGATCTTGGGGGCAAAACATAGAACCAGCCTGTCCTATGTAAACACAGTCAATCTTTGATAGTCCACAAAAAAATATGGTCATTCTTTTGCTGGTTGGCTGGTCATTATCCATTTAATGTCAACCTTGGATTAATAAACCCTTAGGCTCTTTAATTGGGGGGGGGTACCATTTAAGTATTGGGTTGTGACCATTGGAGGAGTACCACTTTAATTGATAAACCTTGGTTTAGCAAAATCCGGGGTTGACATGATTTTTCATTGATCTTCTAGACCTTCCCAGTTCTGGTGCCAATTTTTTGCTTGCGATCAGAGCCAGCGCTGCATCATGGGAAGCAAAAAACTAAAGGACTCGGTTCTAATCATCCAAGGTTGGGGATGTGTGGATAAAACAACCAAACTGCGCTATTTTAGTGGGATTTTACTTTCCTATCTTTTGGGGAGGACTACATATATATATTTTTGCATCGGCCTTTTGGGACTTTCGTCGCGGCGTCTATCATGAATTCAAAAAGAATGCGGCAGTCAGCCTGCAAAGTCCCTTCCGTATTCGACCGTGAAAGAGGTCACAGTCATTGCTTTGCAAACGGAGAGGAACTGCGAATCAGGGTCCTCCTGTGCAGAGAGTGGGACCGCACTGATCGCACCACAAAATTGCTCAGCTAAAGCCTTGCTAAAAGCTGGCGGGTACTCTTTTAGTCCCCCTGTAGCCCAGCTGCCATCTCCTTGTCGTCCAATCGAGCTGGTCTTGGGATTGCTCTTCGTCACATGGTTGGCCAGGATGGTCTGCGTCATACCTGGCAGGTTGAGGCAGAGCAGCTGTGTGGGCTTCATGCTCTTCGCGCCCAGCAAACCTTGACTGAGCGAGAGGAGCTCGACTCCCGGAAGTCTTGTCAGGGCTTCGAAGAGGGGAAGCCGCCAAATCGAAGCCAGTTGGGGATCTTCCGGTTCTTTGGGATGCTCGATAGCAGCAAACCCACCAGTGTCTGCCAGACGGAGAAAAGCCTCCGCCGCAAAGCAAAGAAGAAGGTTACCAACGCAGACTTGGTCCAGCTCGCGTAGCCGCAGTTGGGGAAAACCCCAAAGATCCATGGCATCACGGAGCACTCTGGGCTGTGAGTTGGCGGGGTCCGCAGCATGTACAGCACGAGCCTTGGACCAAGTCTCACAGGGTGGACCTGCAAGGAATGCAATTGTCCAACCCTGTGTGATGCTGTGGAACCAAAAGTCCCGCACCGTCTTCTCCGCAATGTTGCCCTTCTCCTTGTCCACAATGATGTCGAGCGAGACGGTGTAGACGATGAAACCCTCTGTCTGCTTCTGGAGGAGCGCGTCCAGGTAGTACTGAAAGTCACCCAGGCGCCTCCGGCCCGAAAAGGCGTGGAGGACAATCCGGAACTTGCCGAACTGGCGTGGGATCGGCCAATTCAATGGCCGAGTCTGCTCCAGGATCTCCTTCTCCAGGCAGTGGAGGTCTTTTCTTTCCAAAGGAGCTGGCACTGAATGCAAGAATGGCCAGGCGTCTGGTCGCATCAGCGCATCGACAATGTGCAGGAGGAAGGATTCACCAATCTGACGGATGCTTTCGTCCTGATTGTGCTCCAGAATGGTGTTCCGCACGGCTGCCAAGGTGGCTGTACACATAGTCCATGAGATAGTCCGCTCCGTGATGATGTCCCGGATCTTCTGCTCGAGGTCCGCCAGATTCTCCGTCTCGACGAAGGCCAGGCAGCACTCGTCATGAAGTGTCCAGTCAACATTCTCAAAGTCTCTCAGGACTCCCTGTTCAGGTCTTGGTCCTGCGCTTTCAAAGGTGGTAGGAGGCGATCGTGTTGATTGACCAGGTTTTGTTCCTGCGTGGAGCCAGTACCTGGGATGGGCTGAAGTCTGGTTCGTGCTCCAAGCAAACTCTGCCTGCAATAAGTCGCTCGCAGGAGATGGGCCTTCAATTTGGAGGCAGTGTGATATTCTGTGAGACAATGCGGACATTGTGTGCCCTGAAACAGGGTTCTCACAGGGTTCACATGGCCATGTGCCTTGCACATATGGGCCCCTTCTCCTCCTCTGGATCGGAAACTGATCCCGCAGGTCATGCATCCCCAACAGCGTATGGCAGGTTCTTCAACTCTCGTGAGCCGCGAGGCGTTCGAGGTGAATCCATAAAGATGAAGTCGCTGTAGGATCTCCTTGTGGAAGAGCAGAAGTGCTTGATCTTTCTCTCGCTGTTTGCAGGCATGAAGACTAGCACGACGGATCAGCCTGCGCCAGTAGCTCCTATGATCCTGCACGATAGCGAGCCATGCCTCAAAATGTTGCTTTGGATCTCCCAAATGCGTGGCTCCTTGAAGTTGATAAAACATCCATCTGAAGTCATCCTCCAACAATTCAAGCCAGGGTCGGTCTTGATTGATCACTCCCCAATCAACAAGGTGTGTGCAGGCCATCAAATGTGCCAAGATAGCGAAGCCGCTGCACCCTCAAAAGTTCCGAGGGAGAGGGTAGGCCAGTCTGGTAGAGGATCTGTTCATCTGTGAGGTGGCAGTCCTGGGGCACTCGAAGCAATCTGCGGAAGAGTCTGATTAGGGCCCCATGGAGTAGCTCCTTGGTCTGGCTGTCCTCAATGACACATGACTCCGTGCCGTAGAGAAACTTGCTGAGCACTAAACTCCTGAACAATTCAACCCTCTTCGGAAGGGCAATGGCAGGGTTGTGGAATAGCACCTTGCGGTGTTCTGCAAAGGCCTTGTGGGCAAGTGCAACTCTCCTTCGGATCTCCTTACGAAGATCTCCACAATGGTGAAGGATGCATCCCAAGTGCTGATATTGTCCCACCAATTGAATCTTGTAGGTGTCATACTCACCGACCACCGCCAGCTGTCGAGGAGCAATGGGTCCATAGTGAGCAGTTCTCAACTTCCTGGCTCCCTTGCCTCTGAAGGAAAGCATAATCTCAGTTTTGCCTGCAGCCAAATTGGGCTGCATGGCATGGCTGAGACATTGGTCAATCAAAATTCCGGCCGTGCTTCTGGTCTTCCGCAGGAGTGACTCCCCATGGTCTGCACTGATAGCAACGCAAAGATCGTCCATCCAGCATGGGCCTAGGAACTTCGTGAAGGTGGTACCGGTGGGAACCTGTCGGCCAAACAAGTCTGGACCCTGATCAGCAGGGAAGGCATCAAAAGTGGAGCCCTCAACATCCGCCTCTTGTAGGAAACGCTGGAGCACTCTTGACCAAAGATAGCCAAAGATGACGTCGGCAAAAGCGTCGCCTGGGCGAGTGCCCATTGAGGTGCAACATGCGTCTTGTTGAGGTCCAATGTGCCAATGTGTATCCAGGTGCAGTGCATACAGCGCTCGTTGTAGGTGTAGAGGAACCTGCGCTTGTTGTGTGGCACAGTCCTGGGAAAGATGGATCCTCAGGTCATCCAAGATCGTGGCAGGAAGTCCCAATCTGGACGCCACCAAAGCAAGAGTCTCATCGTCAGTCTTGCCTCCGACAGCAAGGGGTCGAATGACCCGATAAAACGCCTCGCTCAAATCAAGGAAGATGAAGGCGATCGGTCGTTGTCGAAGATGATGGTGTCGGAAGAATGCTCGAGCAAGATGAACTCCTAAATTGACAGGCGCCTTCCGTTGCCCTCCAATCTGTTGGCGGATCATATACTGTTCATAGATGGATGCCTGGTGCAACCTCAAAGTTCTATGAATGCATTTACCAATGTGAGAGGAAATGAGGATCGAGCGGTAAGCCTCACAACGCTGCTTGCTCATCTTGCGTTTCCAGATTGGCACAAGGCGGCCGCCTTTGTGCATCAGGGGCTCATGGCCGTGAAGAAGTGTTTTCAGCAGCAATGGGAAAGAATGTCGGGCTAAAGCCGTTGGACAGGAATTGCAAACTTCAGCAGGAATGTTGTCCGGTCCAGTTGCTTTCCCAGTGGAGACTTGTCGAAAAGCTGATTCAAGCGCAGCAAGGGGAGGCAGATCCTCAATTGCCACCACAACTGGGTCAGAGTGTAAGCTGGCCAGATTCTGAATCCACATGTCACGTTGTGGTTGTGCTGGACGTCGAACTCCTCCTTCCATGTTGCCGAAAAACTCAATCCATCTGTTGAGCGCATCTTCTGGCGAACGGCAAGGTTGGTCCTCCCTATCAAGCACTTGAGGCAGTGGCGCAATGCCCTTGTTTTTGAGGTTGCTTGTCCCTACCAAAGGCCGTAGGGTGTGCAAGATCGTGGAGGCCGATGCTGTCGGTGCCAGTTTGTCGATGTGCTCAGCCACCCCCCGAAACTTGGCAGCTTTCAATGCATCCTTGAGTTGTTTGGCATGGCTACGAAAATCCGCCAGGCATCGGAGGTTGCCACAAAGAAGCGTGGTCATGTATTGCTCCTGGAGGCTGGTTGCCTGGTAATCACTTCCTTCATTGGAGCGTTTCCATGCACCAAAAGCCGTGGCAAGCAGTTCACGCAAAATGATCTTTTTGGTATGTTTGAGGGCTCGTCGGCACCGAAGTTTATGTGACCGTAAAGACCAAATTGCATCGCTGATGAAGGACTTCTTGGGACCTTTGCGTTGGGTCGGACATCGTCTGTGAAGTTCCTTGTGTACTGCCTGATTGAGGGTCTCAATCTGTGTGTCGACATCTAAGGCCCAGTCAGTCGCAGGATGATCAGAAAGAAGACCGTCAAGATTTGTATTTCTGATTTTGGCTCGATCAAAGGTTGTTGCTGCTCTCTGTCTTCTGGAAGGCTTGTGAGAGACATGGTAAGCCCAGCCCAGTTCAACCGCAATGGGTGTGTGATCTTGTTGTTCATTGCCCAAGTCAAAGGAGTCCAGCAGTTGTGAGTGTGTGCAGCAAACCAACCTCTCGCATGGCACGGCCACATAGTCAAGGCAATGGGTGGTATTGCCGTCAGGGCTTGTCCATGTATCCAGACCGCCAACATGGGTATAAAGCGTCTGCGGTAAAGCCAACTGGTGAACTTCAAGAAATTGTCGCCAGAGTGGTGTAGATTTCGATGTGGTTCCAGGTTGGTGTAGGACCGAAAGTCCATCCACAGAGCCTGTTTCAGCATTCGCATCGATCATCACGTAAGGCTTGTTCTCCCCGCAGTGCTCCTGAATGATGTCCGTGGAAAGTTGCCACCATTTGGTCCGAAGGTCAATGGAATGTCCGCTATGCGGGGCATGCGCAACAAAGATGTGGATGTCGAGGAAGCTGGTATACACTCTGGCAAGTAGTCGATGTGGATCAGCATGGATGATTTGGATGTGCTCCTGTCTCAAGTGCAGGGCTTTGCGGCCCTCATAACCATAAGGTTGCCTTGTATTGATCCATAGTTCGACTCCCCCTTGCCCTTGAAGAGCGCCAGAGCAAAACCGAAGCACGTTTTGGCACTTGCAACTTCCTTCTGGTGTGCGTGCTTCCTGTATACCACCAAAAAGAAGCCCGTGAGCCTGGAATTGTTCAACCAGATATCCCACTTTGCCTGCATAGCCATCCGGGCGATTGTACATCGAGAGGACATTGGCTGTGCAGAAGCTGATCTGGATCTTGATGTGCTGCAGGACGGGAATCTCCTGTTCTTTAACCAGTGAGCTTGGTTGGTGAGCCTCTGGCAAATTGGGGACTGGGGCATGCAGGTAACCGTCATGTAGTTGCGGTCCCCCAAGATGTTGGGCAAAGATCAGCCAAAGGTGAGGCAGTTTGGTTCTCCAACTGGTCATATCCAGCCTGAGTCGGGGCAGGAAAAAGCTGTTCTGCGCTTCATGTTTTGCCATTAGGTCAGTGAAATCGTTGAAAGGTTCTCCACAGTGTCCGTAGATATGCTCCAATCGCAGATGTCCTTGTGGGAGAGCTACATCCAAAAGCTGGTAGGCTCCTCGTAAGCACAGGAAGGAGTCATCCAGATTGGTCGCTCCTTTCAGTCCACTAGCCTGGTCGCAGGTAAGTTGCGAGTCACTGCGGAAAAGTGTCGGCACCATGCTGTTCTGGCCAATCCGCCAGAGAAAGGCCCAAGTCATGCCTTCCCTTTCAGCAGTGAGGGAGCCCGGTACTGTGGATCCAAGATGGAATCTGCTGGTGGCATTGTATCGAACTTGTTGTGCCGTCCATCCGACAAGAAACAATTGATGTGGTCGTGTTGAGGTAGCATAGCATTCAGCCAAGACAATCATAGCCCATGCATCCGGAGTGCCATGTTCTTCAATCCAGGCCGTGGGATGATGATGTTGGTGTCCTTGCGAGGAGCCATCCACATAGATGATAAAACGATCCGGGTGTTGGTCTCCAATCAGAGGAATGCAATTGAGGAATGCTTCAAGATCAGCAGGAAGTTGAAGTCCGTCAAAGCTGGTGTGAAGATCAAAAGAGGAACGCTGGAAAAACTCTTGCAGCTCAACAGATGTCTTTCCCAAGTCAATGCGGCTATCACGACCAGCAAAAGGCCTCTCAGCTTGGGGTCCCTTGTACATGACGCCAGGGGGTGCCACAGGTTGTTGCTGTGGCCATGTCGGAGGTTGCCTCAACTTCCCAGGAAGTTCCTCAAGAACGCCAAAAGACTCTTGAAAGAGCACAATGGTTGTACGGTTGAAGGTGCTCCTTCGACTGACAATAACGGCTTTGGGATGTCCTTGGGCATGAAGAAATTGCATGTCCTTGTTCTCGTCAACGCACAGTTGGATTCCCTCTTGATAGAAAGGTCCATAAATCTGGCCGTTGGCAACCGAGATGAAGATGCGACAAGCAAGCTGTGGATAGCCTTGGCGATCAAAGCAAAGTGCGATGTCAAAGTCCTCAAGAAGTTCGACATCACAGTCATGACCCCATAGTGAAAGTTCTTTTCGGATATTGTCCGTGCTGATGGGTGGCGCAAATTCAATATAGTCAGGGAGGAGCTGTTGATCAGGCCTCCCAGGCAAGATTCGCACTGCTACAGTCTCTTGCAGCTGACAGGGCCGATGGGTGTGAGCCACCAGCCCATCTGTTAGGCGCTCCTGTCCCTTGCTTGGAGCAATGTGGCCTTGTGTGAGTTGAACATATTTCTGCAGAAGGTTCAACCCTGGGTTGGCAGGTGCCTGAGGTGCCAGTGCCTGCGTGTGAACTTGGATGCTCATTCCATTTCTCCCTGGGTAGGGGTGTCCCCAGCGGAGTTGTTCACCGCGGTGCCACATCTGGCACGTCCTGGTGGCTGTGGGTCCCATGCATCGGTCAACAAGTTCTGTGACAACCAGAACATGTTCGAAGATAGCATGTTCATGGGTGGTGGCTGCTAGTTGGACTTCAGGTTCCTCATCTTGAAAGTCGTCATCAAGGACCGAGACAAGGGTCGTGATCCAGGATGGGTGTTCATGTTGGATCATGATGACGTGGACCGCAATGTCATTGGTTGAACTGGGTGGAGAGGGGTACACCACGTAGAAGTCAACCTCAGCCGTTGGATCAAGTCGGTCCCGCCACGCAGCACGTAGCAAGGGCTCCCAATCTTGGAAATTTTCATAGAGCTGCACCCTCCTGTTGAAGAGGCCATGTGGCTGAGTCCATCTGTGGTTGACATACCAAGCAGCAACTGTGCAAGATCTGACTTCGCCTTCCCACGAAGCTGCAGCGACATGCCAGGTCTCAAAAAGCTCCTGGACAAATTCGGATTGGCTGGTCAGAGGTGGTCGCGGTAGAGCAAACTCTGGCGCTGCCGGATTGAAGTGGAAAGGCTCCGTTGTAGTCGTGGTGCAAGAAGCAGAACCACTGAAACCAATGTCTTGGGCTGAAGCTGCAGTCCTTGATAGAGGTTGTTGACGATGTAGGGATCGTTGCATCAGCTGAATTTGATCAGAGGAAGTCTCGGAGAATGTCTCAATCGCGACAAACCTCGGAGGTGCTGCTGGTGGGCTAGGTCTGAAGGTAGGCAAGAGAACTTCCAGATGTGTGCCCGGCGCAACCTCTTCAATCTCAAAGAGTCCAAATGGGATTTCATTCAGATGAACCCGACAAAGTGGTCTCTGTGCAGGATCTGTCAGTGAAGGTGGAAGACGCTGTAGTAGCCCTTGTCTCGAAAGCAGTCGAGGAACAGCGAGTGCAAGTTTGATGGACTGTAATCAAGGCAACCGTATCAGTGGGAGCGGCTTCCTGCTCCACAATGACATGTCCAAGAAGGGTCTGTGTGGTCGCCTGAACTGGTCGAGGATGTACGTGATGAAAAGCAAGGCCGTGGCCGTGAATCAACATGTCCTCCCAGGTCTCAGCAATAAGTTGCTCCCATTCCGCTGGGTTAGCTTCAAGCCTGACTGTGCGAGGTTGAAGGCAACGAGGTCGTCGTTCATGTTGGACCAGCCAGGTCATGATGTAAGCCACTGGTCCTTCCTCCTCCATCTCGATGAAAGCTTCCCGGTGGAATGCACGGACAAGTGCAAGTCCCCATTCAGGTGTAAGGCCGAGATGGGCACGTCCATCCTGTCTTGCTCCTTGTTGCTCAGTGCACCATTGTTCAGGTCCAAGAGGTTCAGTTTGTTGGTCTGTTCGGAAAAGCCAAATGGGCGGCTTCGAGGTGTCAGGTATGTCCTTTGTTCCGTACTGTAGGAGTTGCATCTGGTCATCACTGGTATCCTCTTGAAAAATCTGATCAATGAGGTTGTAATCGCAGGCTCCAATATAAACATTGATGTATTGACCGTGGGTGATGTCCAAAGTGGCATCATCTCGCTGCTCAATCTCATAGTCATTCAAAAAGAGATGACAGCGCTCTGGGGTCTCGACACAATGGTTTTCAAGATGGAGCAGGCGAAAAAGAGTCAGTCTCGTAGCAAAATTGGGCAGCCAGAGCACTCTTCTTGAATTGGTAGATGGTTGGGTCTCACCAGGAAGGTAGATCTCCACATCGACCAAAGTAAATCGCATGATTGACGCGACAGGTCCATCTTGTTCAACTTGGACAAGGTACGTGTCCAGCTGCAACTCAGCAAGATCAGCAGGCATGGATTGCAGTCGATGGAGCTGCACAATGTCGCTATGTTGAATGCTAAAAGCATCAGCAATGACTTGGCACGCTATGGGGCCAGTGTTGCTCGGGAGGACTGCCGTAGTAGTGCGTCCATCGCGAAGGAAAAGGAGTGCTTCATGCCAGGGGTCCATTCTTGTGCTTCTGGAACTGGAACTTGAGGAGGAACTCGAAGAGGAGGTCCGGGAACTGGTAGTTCTCCTTCTCGAAGCATCGATGGAAGTGGCTCGCCTCGACATGAGGTTGACTGCATCCCCATCACCCCAGTCCCATGGTTCCCTGGGTGGGTAAAGTGAACGGAGTCTTGCAACCAGTTGTTCTTCCCATTGGTCTTCAGGAACAGGAGGTGGAATGCGAATCGTGAGACTGAGGCCTTCATGAAGTCGAATTGGTTGTCCCACCGGAAGCTCAAGTCTTCCAATGTTGATCGTACATTGCCCAAGCCCTTGTCTGTGACGGTCGTCGCAGAGGTCTGAAACACGTCCATGGAGAAGCACATGGCGGTAAGGGATCACCACATCAAAAGAGTGAGCGATCTGCGCAATGTTGGCGTGTGGAAGTCGCGGTTCAATTGTTGTGGTGAGGCAAGCCGTGCGCAGTGGTGTGGTGATGTTGTACAACCATCAGAATCCCTACCGTGTCGGGCATCGTGAAGAAAGCTGGCTCCGGGGCAACCAATGAAGCTGAAAATGGGGCTTGTCTATCAAAAAGATCTCCCCAAACAAGACTAACATCATCGACCCACGTTTCGAGGTGTCGGCTGAACCTCAGTGGTTTTCCTTGATCTTGAAAAAGATTGTTGGCATGGCTGATGTAGAAGGAGTTGACATAAATGACCTCACCCTCCTCCTCATCTTCAACTCTGCCTTCCTCGTCCAGAAGGTTCCAGATCTGGGAGAACCAATGCGGAAGTTCTCGTAGGTTGGTGGGTTCCCTCCTGTCGGATGGTTGGCTTGGTACGGCTCTCTCATCCGGAAGTGGTGGTAGATGAGCCTCTGTGGGGTCGGGCTTCAAAAAGATGATCCCTCTGCAAGCTGGGGGGTGCTCCATGGCGAAATACCACATGCCATACAGAGCTCTGGAACAAAGATGTTGTACATCTCCAGCGTGTTGCAGTTTCCAATCCACACTTCAACTTCAGGTGAGAAGCTAGTTCGCACCGACTTCCTCGATGTAGAGCACTTCAAAATCCCAGTAGGGCTCCTCGAGCTGGAACATGTAGCTGATGGTGTGGAAAGAAGAGGACCGTGAAGAGACAGTGCAAGTCCAATTGCTTGATCTCTGGCTTGCCATTCACTCAAAAAGTGACGGTGAGAGATCCGACGATGTGTCCACTTCATGACAAGGGCCGGGACTTGATCCAGAGCCCAATAGTGGCAAGGCCCCTGGCTGTCATACCCGTAGGTCATGCTCAACCGGCCTAAGTAAAAGGCGGCCCTTTGGGAGGATTTTGTCCTTCCTCTTGTGCCTCCATTGCTTGGTCTGCATCGGATGGTGCATTCAAGCGGGGTCGCTTCGCGGCTTGCATCTCTGTCTCGATTTGTTCTGTTTGCGTCTGAAGCTGTTGAAGGGAGGTGGACAATGTCTTGAAGCTGTCGTGGATCTTGTCCGACGCATTCTTGATGTTGTCCTGTCCCTCTGTGAGCTCCTCGTCTTCGTCTTTGATCTCGATTGTTTTCACCTTTCCAGCAGCCATCTGCGATTGTTCTAGCTGGGCATTGGCCATGTTGAACTGCTCTTGGGCTGCTTGGATCTTGTCCTGGACGTCCTTCTCCTGTTGCTGAAAGAGCGTCGCATATTCTTGCCAGGTGCGGATTGCATCGGTCAGAAAGGCCTTCCAAGATGCGATCAGGTTGAATCTGGCTTGGAGTGCTTCTTCGAGGTCTTGACGTGCTCGTCCTTGATGTCGTACTGCAGAGTGGAGGTCCTTGGTCGCACGTGCGCCCTCCTTCTTTGCATAGTTCTGGACTTTCATCCTCATATCTGGTGGCAACTCCATTTGTCTCGTTCTGATCATCTCCATCAACTCCTTCTCCTCCGAGTTCTGTGCTGGGGATGTAGTTGAGGTAGACGTCGGTAGTTCCGGAGGCTGAGGCATGATAGGCCAATTGAAACCTGTCTGTGCTGAATTCATATTGGCCATAGGAGTCATCTGTGGTTGAGGTATTGACGGCATGGGTGGAAAAGGCAGTCCATGCATGGTATAACCAGGCCATGGTACTTGTGGAGGAGGCAGAGGAGCAGGAGCCCCTTTGCCTTTGCCCATACCGCCACCTTGTCCCTTGCCCCGTCCCTTGCGCTGCCCTTTCGGTGTCTTCGCACTGTTGGAGCGTCGCCTGGAATTCGGAGTTTGGGAACGGGAGGGCTGTCGCGCCCTGTTCCACTGTTGCGAATTGTCCCAGTTGGATTGATCGAGGTTCCAATTGGGCATTGGCTGTTGCTGTCGGCCTGGATTGTGGACGTAGGAGTGGTCCATCGCTTGCTGCCAGGGAAGCTGGCAAACAGTGCAAAAGGCAGCATTGTGCTTTCTCAGCTGTTTGCAATGAGCACACTTCCAAGGGGTGTTCACCGCCATCGCAGCAGCGATAGAGCCAAGGAAATACACGTCCCTGGAATGGTGCGCCTGCAGAACTCGTAAGATGCTCTGCAACTTCAAAAAGGGCAGCTTGATGACTCCTCGCCTGTGCAGAAACCAGAGTCTGCGTGCAGTGGCACGTGTCCTTCGCAATGCTCTCCTCTGAGTATCGGAAGCCGTCGCTAAAAGGAACCACGCAGAGACCTGGATGATCAGCAGGATGAAGAGGAAGTGCACCACAGATCAAGTTCACAAGGGCCAGAATCGATGCGTGCAAGAGGGAGGACTCCAATGCCCTACACATACAAAGAGACCGGGACAAAGGCCGTGAGCAACCAGACCACAGAAAAGGCGCGAGGTGATCGCAGCTGGTCAGACTGCGAGAGCACTTGCCAAAAGGTCAAACACCAAAATGACCCGCGGGTGGCGCCAACGACCCGCTAAGGTGATAAGCTGGTCGGAACCGAGGGGACCTTCCAGCCAAAACCTTATATTATATACAATTGTAAAAACTTACAGGGCCAAACATATTTTCTTCAACCACCATAACCTCATTTCAAACGATGATCTTTTAACGGTCCATAAATGATCGAATGCTGGTTGAGAAACTATATTGCATGATTAGCTGAGATACGATGAGTGGGAAATTGCGAAGCAAGGACTCCTAACTACGATGAGCTATGGTCAAATTGAAGCTCATGACTCTGTATAGTTGTATAGTAAATATAGCACACGTATGTTATATTTCTTTAGGATTGCTTGCAGGATGTTTAATACTCTCTATGAAAGATTGCGAGTTAAGCTCATTAAACTCATTAATATAAAAATAATTATAAACAATATTAAACATATACACTATCAACATTCCTCAGGTTCACAACACACCCTCTGACTTAACCTTCTCCGTAGCACCTCTTTGGCGGGTATGGATTGCCATAAAGTCACCTGCCACAGCGACACCACGGCTCTCAGCCGTCTCAGCGCAGGCATTCACCCAACGGGCGCCTCGCCAGAACTCGACCATCCTGGCTGCGGCAACTGCCTAAGAAAATCCACCCGCCCTCCCCCCCAAAAAAAAAGATTTTCGATCTAATACATGGCTGTGGCATATGGCATATCTGATGTGATTTTGTTGTTGATATCGAATCCAGTTGTTATATAAATGTATATATATATATAATGTATATATGTTATAGCTGATGAATCCAGTTTATATTATATTGTGGATTCATCAGATATAACATATATACCTATTAATAGATACCTATATACCAACAGCTATATATTAACAAATGTATATTATAATTGTTATATGGCAGTGTGTCAAAACCTTGTACCCCTGTAGTTCACATCAAAATAGCTGGTAAATGGATGTCCATCCCATTAAAAATGGTATCTATAGGCTATAGGTATTGACCCATACCCATATTGTGTTGTTAATAGTTGTTCTTGCTTTATAATTGTACATCCAGCGACGAAGGGAGAACGCAGCAACCCATGAAGCCAGCAGCACTGCAGCGGCGAAAACCGGGAGCTCCGGGAGCCTGGTCGTGGCCACGACGGGGTGTTGCGATTCGTGAAGCGGGTCATCCCACCGTTCTTCAATGGGATTCCCCAAAAAACATAGGTAAATTGTATATTATATAATGATAATAGATAGATATTATATATATATACATATATATATATATACATATACGTATATATGTACATATCCCATATATATATAATTTACATAAAATTATACTATATAATCATCTCTAATTATACAAGAACTTATAATATATATATATTGTATATATTTAACTAACATATAAATTCTATATAATTATAAACTATATCATCATATATATATACATAAATGTACCCTCATTCCTTCAGGGGATGGTCATCACCCGCTGGTAGAAAAAAACTAATTTACTTCGAGTGATCCCCACCATGCGTGTAACAGAAGATGTGTGCAAACTGCCTGGTATGCCAACCCCGATCTGTTGCTGCGAGCCACCAGCAAGGTCACGTCCTGAGCATGCCTATATATGTTCTGGCATTCTACCTGACATTCTATGTGACATCTTGCCGCAGTGCCCACTGACCTCTGCCGCTCGCCTTTGAGGTCCGGCAGTGCCCACTGAGCTCTGGCGCTCGCCTTTGAGGTCCGGCGGTGCCCACTGACATCTGGCGCTTGCGGTTGGGATACGGCGCTGCCCACTGACATCTGGCGCTCGCGGTTGAGATCCGGCGGTGCCCACTGAGATCTGGTGCTCGCGGTTGAGGGCGGAGTCTGAGGCGGGAGGTGGAGGTTGAGGAGGAGGAGGTGGTGGGCAGCATGCAGCTCTAATAAAATCTAGGGTCTAAATAACTTTTGACATCTTTTGACCATGGCACATATGTTGAAACAAACCT